CAGAAACAAGTTAAACTTTTTTTAACTAAAGATAGATTATAGCAGTCTGTTGATAGAACTAAGGTGGTTTTGGTTTGGTTTTTTTGGTTGGTTGGTTGGTTTTTTGGAGTTTTTTTGGGGGTGGGGTTGTTTGTTTGTTTGTTTAATCCTAATTTTCTCTTTGGTTTTTATGTTTCTGTATGTATGTAAGTGTATATATTATGACTGACTATTGCAGTGTTCAAATGGTGCAGTTAAGACTGGAATCCAGAATGCTAGGACCTAAATAAAAATACCTGTAGATGAACCACTGACCTGGTTAGAATGATGAATAATATATTGGGGGTATTTGTGGTTTGTGATACAATTAAGTATATGTAGTATTATATAGGTGTATACACACATTCCTGAAAACTATAATTTATATTTCTTTTTATCATCATCAGTCTAGGGAAACTTGCAAAGGGAAGAGAAGCCTCTCTTCCATCTCTCTTGATGATATTAAAACTGTTAAAAGTAATTATGCAGACTAGAAAAATATCTCAGGAATTTCTTATTTAGAGGTCATCATTATTTTCCTTTGATGTAAGACAGAATTCCAGTATGCTTTTTATAAATGAGAGTGGATAAAACTCAGGAGGAAAGGTAGCAGCTTAGACAAAGAAACAAACAACCTAAGACTCCAATACAGAAACATGAAAAATAGCAGTTACAGCCCTTTGCAGAGATTCAGTTTCTACTTGGCATTTTCTCTGTGTCGTGGAAAGCAAAAGGTGATGATCTCTAAATGATGGTATGAGAACTTTTCTTAGGTCAGCAGATCAATAAAAGGGGTATGCATGACTGTTTATGAAAATATAACTAGGCCAGCCTTTCCAAGTGTAGATGAGATTGGTAATTTTCCCATCCTTGCCCCAAATACAATACAACAATTTAAGTAGTGTGCCAAATCATCATGTAGTATACAGCTTTGGAATGCACCTTGCTTCTGATACTCAGGGAGCAGGGAAGACATGCTGATGCTTCCACATGTAATGAATGTTGTGCATGACAACTTGACTTTTAAAAAATTTATCTTTTTGTATTTTTGTAGTCTGGTTTCTTGACACTATTTCATTTTTGGGGAAAATTTGTTTTGAATTCTTTCTTCCTTAGCCTGTTTTCCAAAGAAAGATAGCCTTAAGTGATTGATCAGTCTATTTGTCTGCCTTCTCTCTCCCTTTAGGTAACTTTTGAATCCATTGATAAATCAGCAGGTGAGGGGGAAATCAACCTTAATCTTTGCTTTTCTGTCTGGTTGGCTGCCAATCAGCACTCTTGTACAGACTAGCCAGGGTGTCCTCAGGCTGAACAGACTATGCCCAACTAGCAAGCTATGGACTAGGAGACATGCCAGGGGGTGATCCTAGATGTATGAGGGAACTAAGGGTATTGTTCAATAAGGAACATGGGAGGAAGTTGGAGCTATGCAGGAGGACAGGGATCATTGAATCACTCAGGTTGGAAGAGAACTTGATTGGTCATTTAGCCCAACCTTTTGTTCAAAGCTGGGTCAACATTAAATTCAACCAAGGTTGTTTAGGGTGTTGTTTGGCTGAGTCTTAAAAGCCTGGAAGGTGGGATAGTCTTTTTTGTGCAATGTGTACCAGTACTTAATTATCTTCACAATGAGGAATTCTTTTCTATATGCAGTTAGAACCTCTGCTTTTTTAGTTTATGAATTTATTTCTCATTCTTCTTCCAAGCATCCTCAATAAAGAGTCTGGCTCAGTTGCCTCAATAACCTCTCCCTTAAGCCTTCTCTAGGCTAAAGAACCCTCAGGTTGTCCTCATATAGGTTATATGCTCTAACCCCATGGAATCATAGCTCCATAACTGTCTTGGTGACTTTTCCCATGACTCAAGTGTTTCCAAGTCTTGTACCAGGTGACCCAAAACTGATTGCAATATTCTAGATGCGGGATGATTGAAAAGGAATAATTTCTGCCCTTGATGTATTGATTACTGTTGATCTACCATTTTGCTGTTGATAAAACCACTATGCTGTTAGTCTTCATTGTTGCCAGGATGAACTGCTGAATCCTGATTAGCTTCCTGACCACCAGAGTCTCATGTGCTTTCCATCAGTGCTACTGCCCCGGTAGGCAGTTGTCGTGGTTCAAGCCCAGCCGATAACTCAGGACCATGCAGCCACTTGCTCACTCCTCCCTCTTTTTCCTCCCCCCCCACTCTCAGAGGGATGGGGAGGAGAATCAAAAGAATGTAACTCCCATGGGTTGAGATAAGAACAGTCCAGTAACTAAGGTATAACACAAAACCACTGCTGCTACCACCAATAATAATAACAATATGGGAAATAACAAGGGAAGAGAATACAACTGCTCACCACCTACTGACCGATACCCAGCCCGACCCCAGCAGTGATCTAGCCTTTCTGGGTAACTGCCTCCAGTTTATATACTGGGCATGACGTGCTGTGTTATGGAATACCTCTTTGGTCAGTTTGGGTCAGGTGTCCTGTCTCTGCTCTGTGATGGAAAAGTCCCATCACAGATTCCTGAGGGACTACATTTATAACTGGCCTCCAGCTAGTTTTCTGAACTTTAAAATACTGTGTTGAGGGATTTCAGGAATAGAATGTTACTGGGATATTGCAGAGGCTGATGGTGAGGATATAGGACAAGAATCTTTAGGAACCAAGTGTCTCAGGGAATAGTTCTTTGATTATTGAATTTCTGATGAGCTGAATAGATGACAAACCCCATAATGGTTGAATTTACTTAGAACAAAAGTCTTTAAAATTAGGAAAACCTTTATTGTGGAAAAACCAAGATGGTGATAGTTCTTTATTATGAAAGGATTGTGTGTGTTCCAGGAAGTTGGGTAGCTGTAGTTACACTGCTGAAATTCAAAGAATTATTATTTTACCAGTTATTCATTCATACCCTTACCTGGAATACTCAGCAGAATATTCCATCTCACACCTCTTTTCTGGACACTAGTTAATTAAATTTCCTTTCTTACTTACATTTTACCTTTCATACTAGAGTTTTTTGTTTGATAGCTTTGCTTGCACATTTGCATAATAAAATGGTGCATGCTCAAGTAGGTCTTGATATTGCAAGTCTGACTTGCACAAATAGCTCGTACCAATATGAATAGTCCTTCTGACTTGAAGGACTTAATTTGCATGAGTAACAGTTGCAGCATGGGGATCTGAATACGTATGTCTGCTTTCCATTACATGCGTTCAGCTCTCAGCAACCCCAGCAGAGTTCCTTCTCTATTACAGGAGGCAAATTGGGCACCAAGAAAGATGTAACTTCTTTCTGCAATAAAGCAGAAATCAGTTTAAAAAAAAAAAAGCATACGTGCATATTGCTAAAATCCCTGAGGTAACGCATGCAGTGTGGAGTCGGTGGTGGCTTAAGTTAGCTGAAGAGATAACAACTTCAAAGAGTCATTAAAAATATATATATGGCATAGGGAATTGGGCGCTGGGAAGTGCCGGAATGGTGTGCTGTAGTGATGCAATAAAACAGACATTGAAATGGACACTGCGGATCAGAAGATGGAGACGGGCGACCGAGGGCTGCGGTAGCCATGGCCGTGCAGCGTGTCGGCCTTACCTCAGTGGAGCTGCCGCAGGGCACCCTGTCAGCGGCGTTGGTGTCCGCCGCCCTGCCCTGTTGATGGAGCAGTGCTGACCCAAGGCCGGAGTTATGGTGAACGCTGCCAGCTCGCCTCAGATCGTATCATGGAAATAACACACATGTACATTCCCCTAAGACCTCTGCTCACTTGTTCGTCCTCATTTTTTAGACGTGTGATGGTTTCTTGCTCTTGAATTTGGCCAGGTAAAGCTAGGAATGCCTCACAAAACAAATACTTGTAATTAAGCCTCTCATGTTGTATCTGCTTGGGGACCCCTCCCACACATGAAGATTACTTTTGTAATTAGCCATTCAGGAAGCACTTTCCACTATATTCTCAAACAAATTTCCTGTGCTGTTTTGTGTATGCATTAACATATCAGAAACATATTCACAAACGTTTTTAAAAGTCTTGTGTTCATTGTGTGGAAAACTGATAGTGTCATCAGAGTATTAACTCTTCTGTGGTGGGTCCGTCCAATAATCCATACAAAATGCAACTGCTGATTTTTTATATGTAAAAAATATATATATATTTGTGTGTGGACGCACAGAGTTTTCTATCCAGAAAGCTGTCCCACTGGCACTACTCATATATGTGTCTTTGTAGGATTATAGCTTAGATGAATATCTACAAATTTATATCCAGTATTCAGGAATTATTATGAATTTAGGAATTTTTAAGTGTTACCTATATTCTTGTTTCTGTAGCTCAGGTGTTTTTTTTAATATATTAATACATTAGACTGTAGAGAGTTTGCTTTTCATATAATCTTAACACAAAGTACCAAATGTCCAAATAACTACAAATATGTATTTTAGCAGTGTTTGGGGGACAACTGGTGTTTCTAAATAACTGTTGTTAATATGACAGTATTTCTTTAATAGTTTTTTTCCCTAAACAATTTATATTATCACTAGTATGCCAATAGTGTAGGCTAAAGTATGCAAGCAACAGTATCTTTTGGGCTGCAGCCTCATCTCATTGATACCAAAATTAACCTTCACTAGTTCTTCTGAAAATAAAGGAATTGCTTTTTCTTGTGTAGGTCAACTGAGAATTCAAATTGTTTATACTTTGTTTTAATATACGAGGATAAATTTCAATAAAATTTCTTAAATGCTTAAATTTCTAAGTGATAAAAAAAGCTCTGATAGCTTTTTCAAACTTTTTGAAATGTAATCGCACGTCTTTTCAGGGGGTCGTGAATGTATCACCAAAGCCATATAAATACACTGCTGCAGATTTTTCTGTTCGAGAATATGAAGTTCTGACTTCATGTTCTTTAGAGGGTGTCAGGTTTGTTTGTTTGTTTGCTTGTGTTTGGGGGGTAAGCTAATTCTATTTCATTTTGTTTTTTGATTTAGCTAAAAAAATAGGAATTACTGATGTGCCAGCTGAGGTGGTTACTTTTATTTCCCATGCAACACAAAACAGATTAAGAACAATGATAGAAAAATTAAGAGTGATAACCCAGCACCGCATGGAATCATACAAAGTAAGTGCGCAAAGGAAGGTATTTTGTTACCATGTTATAATTACAGAATGATGCAGTGTGATGCTGTTTTTGCATAGCACACAGTAGGTGTTCTGTGTCATTCTCTGTGCAAAGCATGCCTAAGCAAATAGATGGTGGTAGGGTGATAGTACTGCTTGCCGGATCTGTCTTCCTTCTCTATGATAGAGTTGTTTTCATCCTTCTCTGCTAAAGTGTCTAGCATGGAGCATCTGTTTAGCTATTTCTGCTCATCAATTGTGACTAAGACCGTTGATTCTTGATCTCCTTTTTCAACCAAGACATCCACCGATTGGATCAAAATTGTTTCAATATAAAGGAATCTATGGTAAAATTACATGTTGTTGTCTGTGACAAATATTAATATTTTACAAAAGCTACCAATTTGTTTTAAACCAGCAAATAAAGAATTCAGCTGCAAATTCTTCACTGTAATTAAACATTTATGTTCTCTTTAAAAAGAACATTTCAAGATAAAATGCTACTCTGATTCTATTGTTAGTGATTGAATTATTGAGGAAAATTAGAACTATTTAGATATCATAAATCAGGGAGGAACTTTAAATAAGAATCTGCAAATCAGTTTGAAATTCAAATAAAGCAAACATCTTTATTGATAAATTTGAAATAATCTACGATGCTAACAGCTGTTAAACTGGTGTAAAAGCAAGATGATATTGACCATTTCTCATGGTTTAAGTCCAGCTGGTAATTCAGAAACACGCAGCTGCTCGCTAACTCCCCCCTCCCTTCCTACCCCTGCTCCCAGAGGGACGGAGAGGAGAATAGAAAGAATATAACCCCACGGATTTAGGTAAGAACAGTTCAGTAGCTAAGGTATAACACAAACCCACTACTGCTGCCACCAATAATAATGATGATAAGGGAAGTAACAAGGTGTCCTAGGTTCAGCAGTAGCAGTCATTTTTTCTCCTTCTTACTAGCTGGTACAGCGCTGTGGCTTTGATTTTTGGCCTGGTAAAAGCGCTGATAACAACAATGTTTTTAGTTGGTGCTCACTAATGTTTAGTCTGACCAAGGACTTTCTGAGTCTCACTCTCTGCCAGGAAGGAGGGGAAGCCAGGAGGAAGCAGAGACAGGACACCTGACCCAAACTAACCAAAGAGGTATTCCATACCACAGCACGTCATGCCCATGATATAAAATGGGGGGCAGTTACCCGAAAGGCACACATCACTGCTTGGGTCGGGCTGGGTATCAGTCAGTGGGTGGTGAGCGGTTGCATTCTCTTCCCTTGTTATTTCCCTTATCATTATTATTATTGGTGATAGCAGTAGTGATTTTGTGTTATACCTTAATTACTGGATTGTTCTTATCTCAACCCGTGGGAGTTACGTTATTTCGATTCTGCTCCACATCCCTCCAGGAGCTGGGGGAGGAAGAGGGGGGGAGTGAGAGAGAAACTGCGTGGTACTGAATTACTGACTAGGCTTAAACCACGACAGTTCTTTTTGGCCCCCAACGTGGGGCATGAAAGCTTGAGATAACAACAGATCTGACAGGAGTGTGTCTAATCGTATTTGTGATAAGCATTTTTTGTTTTGGGTTAATAGTCACTTGTCACAATGCTGATTTATTGGTCCTCAAAGTTGTTGCTCTTGATCTCAGAGTTTCAGCATGCCGTACCTTACTTACAGCCGGTATTTTTTGTCTCAGTGTTTATTGGCTGGGGGTCTTGGGCTAAGGTTCTTGTTCCTTGTACTTTATGGTAAAGACTTGTAATACAATAGAATCACTGATCGTGAAACTGATCTGGTTTGCGTTCCCAGTGTTGTCACCACATCTATACTTTAGAAGGTATATAATAGAAGTGTTTAGCAATTACACATTTATTTTCCCCTCCTTGAGTGGTCAGCCTATGAGGGAAACATTCCCACACACCCCAGTGACAAGTACAGCAGCTACACCAACTCCAAGCACAGCAGCTACACCAACCCCAGTGACAAGTACAGCAGTGTCATTTGAGAGTTCTGAAAGTTTTCAATGGCCTTTGGGTACCCTTGAGACCTGCCTGCTGACTGTGATGGGGATCAGCATGTTGGCACAAAGAGTGTGTATTCTCCATGGCCATTTTGTCTGATCTCAAAAGTTAAGCGGAGTCGGGTTTGGGTCTTGTCTAGGGTTAGACGACAATATAGGGGGTCCAAGAGATTTCCCCAAGGCTAGACAGTCATGAGTGGCAAGGGTGTGTGGGACATTATGGGCAAGTGCCTAATCCACTGGGCCCCTCCAGTGCTTTGGAATGGCAGCTGTATGGAGTCCCTAAGGACAAATTTCAGAAACTGCTGAAGGGGAGGATGAATTATTTTGAGCCTGGTGGGCCCATGACACTTCAGGCCATCAGGACAGAGATGCAACATAGAGATGGACTCATGATCGAGGGGTGGACTTAGCAATGGACACTATTACCCAGGTTATTCAAGAGCATGAGCACTGCACACAGCCTCTCCTGCTCTGAAAGACTGTTACAAGAGATGGAGCCTGACATCATGGACCAGATGGACTCAGCAGCGTCATAGGGATTGGTCCATGTACTAAGGAATGATCCCTCTCTCTCCTGCTCTTTGCGTTGATGTATATATATAAGAGTGGTAGTATACTGAAAATGTGGGATGTGAGCATGTCGTGGGTGGTATGGAATAAGGGGTGGATACTGTCCTGGGTTCAGCATTAGCAGTCATTTTTCTCCTTCTTGGTAGCTGGTGCAGTGCCATGTTTTTGACTTTCAGTCTGGGAACAGCGCTGATAACACCAATGTTTTTAGTTGGTGCTCAGTGATGTTTAGTCTGACCAAGGACTTTCTGAGTCTCATGCTCTGCCAGGAAGGAGGGGAAGCCAGGAGGAAGCAGAGACAGGACACCTGACCCAAACTAACCAAAGAGGTATTCCATACCACAGCACGTCATGCCCATGATATAAAATGGGGGGCAGTTACCCGGAAGGGCTAAATCACTGCTGGGGTCAGGCTGGGTATCAGTGGGCAGGGGGTGAGCAGTTGTATTCTCTTCCCTTGTTATTTCCCTTATCATCATTATTATTGGTGGTAGCAGTAGTGGTTTTGTGTTATACCTTAGTTACTGGACCGTTCTTATCTCGACCCGTGGGAGTTACGTTCTTTCATTTCTCTTCCCCATCTCTCTGACAGCGGGGGGGGGGGGAGGAAGAGGGGGGGAGTGAGAGAGAGACTGTGTGGTACTTAATTACTGGATGGGCTTAAAACATGACACAAGGGAAGAGAATTTTAACTGCTCACCACCTGCTGCCCTATACCCAGCCCAACCCGAGCAAGGATCTGGCCATTTTGGGGAACTGCCCCCAGTTTATATACTGGGAATGATGTGCTGTGGTATGGAATACGTCTTTGGCTTGTTTGGGCCAAGTTTACACCCGACTTCCCCTCCTCTCTGGCAGAGCATGAGACTCGGGAAGTCTGGTCAGAGTAAACATTGCTTAGCAACAAGAACATCAGTGTTATCAGCGTTGATCCCAGACTGAAAGTCAAAAACACAGCACTGCACCAGGTACTAAGAAGGAGAAAAATGACTGCTACAGCTGAACCCAGGACAGTATCCACCCCTTATTCCATACCATTCAAATCATGCTCAGATCCCACATTTTTCAGTATACCATCACTCTTCTATCATAGAATCATAGAATCGTTAGGGTTGGAAAGGACCTTAAGATCATCTAGTTCCAACCCCCTGCCGTCATATATATATATGTATTAACACACACACAAAGAGAGAGAGATCATTTCTTACTGCATGGACCGATCCCTATAAAGCTCCTGAGTTCATCCGGTCCGTAATGTCAGGCTCCATCTCTTGTAACTGTCTTTCAGAGCAGGAGAGACTGCAGTGCTGGATTGTTGCCTGCTGATGACACTGTGGAACTTTCTGGTCAGTACTGACGTCGTCAGAATCATCTACATGGTGTACCTTCACCACCAAGTTCTGCACCCAAGCAGCGATATCTTTCCATAGTGCAGCAGCCCAGATGGTTGCAACCTCTGTGTTGCCAGTTGCTCTGCTTCAGTTGCTGCAACCACCCCCACAGGGCATTTACCACCATCCATGAGTCAGTATAAAGTCCTGGCCACTCTTCTTGTTCAGCAATGTCCAAGGCCAGCTGGATGGCTTTCACCTCTGCAAACTGTCTCAATTCACCCTCTCCTTCAGTAGTTTCTGCAACTTGTCATTGGGGACTCCATGCAGCTGCCTTCCATCTCCGATGCTTTCCCACCATATGGCAGGACCCATCAGTAAACAAGGTATATTGCTTTTCACTTTCTGACAGTTCATTATACGGTGATCTTGTTCTTCTTCCTGGTGCCCTTGTCCTGAGCTGTGACATGGAGGATTCTGTTCACATTTGTTTCAATGGTATTTTCAATCTGGAGGACACCACGAAGGGCAGGAGGGATTCCAGTGAGATCAGAAGTTCCCAAACGATTATCCTTTACCTTTGTTCTCTTCAATTCACGCATCCCCTCCTCCAGAGCTGAGTTAGCTTTTCCATCCCACTTTCTCATGTGTTTTCCTTGATCCCACAGGTAAAACCATAGGGTGGCCCGTGGTGTATACCTTCTATGTGTTCTCTCTTAAGCAGTAGAACACCTTTCGTTAATAGCTGAGACACGGATTGGTACACATTGGGAGCTGGATAGATCATTTCTCAATTGTTTGAACTCCTGGGGCATTTTTTCCACAGCTGAAATAATGGAAGGGGTGAGATTGTCTTCGAACTGTCAGAGCTGACGAATCGTTTCATCCAGTGTTGGTGGTACTATGTCATTCCAGGTTATTGCTGCCAGTGAGTGGGCATATGATGATGGTGCACTCCTTGTTAATTTCCACCACATGGGTTGTGTACATTCAACTTCATCTGGATCTATTGATGCATTCCCGGCATCTGGCCTGTGATAGATTGTCTCTACAGTGGCTGATTTTTTCAGAGACTGCATGCCTTTCTCTGTCATGGTCCAGTTGGCCAAACAACTCATAACATCGTCCTTGTATAGAAGCCTTTCTTTCACAGGTGCCAAGAGCTGCCTCCAAAGGCTGAGGTACCATTTCTCTTTCACAATTACTTTGTCAGTTCCCCCTCCCCTATCAAGTGGTCCCAGCTGCTTAGCTTCCCTACCTTCTAGTTCATGACCATTGGCCCCATTGGCCCAGCATTGGAGCAACTAGGTGATGATGTGCTCTCCTGGTTGATGGGTAAAATCTTTCTGCATATTCCGTAGCTCAGTTGAGGTCCAAGGTCAAGAAGTCACCTCTTCTTCTTCCTCTTCCTCTGATTCTCATAATAATAACTCTTTTTCAGTTGCTGTCCTGTGTAGTAAGTGCATTATTAATTCATCTTTCTTCACTGTGCGGCTTCCTCTTTGTGCCTCTTTTGCTTTTCCCCTTGCGTACAGGGGCAACCAATATTGGCACAAATTAGTCCTCTGGTTTAGCTGCAGTGATTATCACTGTGGTTGGAGTCGCTGCAGTATCAGTTGTTGGGATTGGTGCAGGCACTGTGCTTGGGTTTGAGTAGCACCAGAATCTGCACTGTCTGTTGGTGGCAGGGTTTGGATTTCTGCTGTACTTGTCACAGGGATTTGTGTAGTTGCTGTGCTTGGAATTGGATTAGCTGCATACTGTGTTGCATTCGGAGTTTGAGTAGCTGCTATACTTGTCCCTGGGGTTGGTGTAGTTGCTGTATTTGAGTTGTAGAAGCTGTGTTGTCTGTTGCTTTGACATCAGATCCAGAGACATTTTTTTCCCCTTTGATGTTGCTGGATAGTGTTCATCAGGGCTCTGTAAGCATAGGACAAGCCCCAGCATGTTGCCATGATTTGTCCCTCTCTGATTTGACCAGGATAACAAAACACCTCATTAAAGCGTTTTACTATTTTTTCTGTATTTTGTACTTGTTCAGTGGTGAAGTTCCGAAGCACTGGAGGGGCCCACTGGCCTAGATTCTTGCCCTTACTATCCCACACACCCTGCCACTCATGACTGTCCAGCCTCGGGGAAAATCTCTTGGTCCTCCTATATCATTGTCTAACCCTAGAGCAGACCCAAATTCAAACCTTCTTAACTTTCAAGACCAGACAAAATGGTTGTGAAAGCACACACACTCTGTATGCGTGCCAACATGCTGATCCCATCACAATCAGCAGGCAGGTCTCAAGGGTACCCAAAGGCCATTCAAAACCTTCAGAACTCTCAAATGATGCTGTAAATAGTCTTGTGAGGGGGCTGGGAAGGTAAGGGAATGTCTCCTTCACAGGTTGACCACCCGAGGAGGGGAAAAAAGATGTGCATTTTCTAAACACTTCTATTATATACCTCCCAAAGTACAGAGGTGGTGACCACACTGGGAACGCAAGCCAGATCAGTTTCATGATCAGTGAGTCTATTGTATTACAAGTCTTTACCATAAAGTACAATGAAACAAGAAGTTTAGCCCAGGCCCCCCAGCCGATAAACACTGAGACAGCAAATACCAGCTGTAAGTAAGGTATGACATGCTGAAACTCTGAGATCAAGAGCAAAAACTTTGAAAGCCAGTAAATCAGCATTGTGAAGAGTGACTATTAATCCAAAACAATGAATGCTTATCACAAATATGATTAGACACACTCCAGTCAGATCTGTCATTATGTCAACCCTTTGTGCATCACATTGGGTGCCAGAAAGAACTGTTGTGGTTTAAGCCCAGCCGGTAATTCAGAACCATGTGGCTGCTTGCTCACTGCCACCCCCCCCCCCCCTTCCTCCCCCAGCTCCTGGAGGGATGGGGAGGAGAATCAAAAGAATATAACTCCCACAGGTTGTGATAAGAACAGTCCAGTAACTAAGGTATAACACAAACCCACTACTGCTACCACCAATAATAATAATGATAAGGGAAATAACAATGGAAGAGAATACAACTGCTTACCACCCGCCAATCGATACCCAGCCTGACCCGAGCAGCGATCTAGCCCTTCCGGATAACTGCCCCCATTTTATATCGTGGGCATGACGTGCTGTGGTATGGAATACCCCTTTGGTTAGTTTGGGTCAGATTTCCTCCCGTCTTCCCATCTTTCCTGGCAGAGTATGAGACTCACAAAGTCCTTGGTCAGCATAAACATTACTGAGCAAGAACTGAAAACATCGGTGTTATCAACGTTGTTCTCAGACTGAAAGTCAAAAACACAGCACTGCAGCAGCTACTAAGAAGGAGAAAAATGACTGCTACTGCTGAACCCAGGACGCCATTGGTGTGTGTTGTGTCTAAACTGTGTTTAGATTTCTTTATTGTATATATGCATTGAGTAGCTCTGGTTTGGTGTTCTTATGCTTGTTTTGGGCTTTGTTTGTTTTCCCCCTTGAATGAAAGCCTGGGCAAACAGCTTTGGACTGTACCTTTGCCCACCTCTTTCCCTAACCTGAGTCAAAGTTGAACTGATTATATCTGGCATTTTCAAGAAAAAATAACTGGGATATGTGACTAGTATCAGCATTGATGTGTTAGAAAAATAGATTTAAAAGAAAAAATGCACTATGCCTGTGCGCTGCCTACACTTACATCTTTCCTTGCAATCGATAGATATATTCTGCTATGTTAGATAAAAAGTAAATCTGTTTGTTTCTTTCCAAAATTCTTCATCAGCTTCAACAGTGATAAAACCCTCCTTCCTTCACTCTAGGATGGCATCTGAGAATATAACACTTTACTTAGTCCATGCTAAGCTAAAGATGCATTTAAAATAAAGTTTTAACAGGTTCTTCGAAAAAAACAGTGCTGTCTCGGATTGAACTGTAGCATTTTTATTTTCTTTTGTAAATTTCTTGGCTAATGGTTTTATTTGATTTCATAGCATTGCAGCCAGAAAGGAAAATATTAAGCAGATAAATTAGATGGAAGTAATATGAATAACTTATTGTTCTGACTGACATTCTGAGTGTTCCCCCTGTTACTTGTGTCATAAGTTCTTTTTATTGGGTACTAGGAAAGCTTGCATGCTCTTAGTTGTCATAAAGTTCCTCTATTTTAATAGTAATTAAAGGCTTGTATTCAACCCAATTTTTAGCTTTAATTCTTTTATCTTTTAATGCTGCATCTTGACTATGTCTGTTAATAGTTCAAGATGAGTAGAAATACAGGTATTGCAGTTTATAACCAAGCTTATATGCTGTGTCTAGGATTGTTCAGTAATAAAGTTAAGCATCTTAGGGATTTTTAACCATTAAGTGTGTTTGCTTTGTTTTTAACTCCTTGATGTCTCTGGTGCTGATAAATCAATCTTTGTCTTTTCACTTATCTTAGATATTAAATTTAGCTACATTATTAACCATAGACTGGTTGCATTCCCCTGAGCTTAAAAAAAAATTCTATTTTTTTTTTTACTGTTAGTACAATGGAAAGATATTAAGGTATAGTCTTTAAATGTGTAGTCTTGATGAAAATGTATTGTAAGACGCTGTTGTTGTTTTACAGGATGATGAGTGGTATGAACAAGCTACAGATGTCCGATCACAGTTAAAGTTTTTTGAACAGTTGGAGCGTTTAGAAAAGCAAAGGAAAGATGAACAAGAGAGGGAAATCTTGCTGAAGGCTGCCAAGGTATCTGTTTTGCTCTATTTTTTTTAAACTATTTAACACTTCATAATCTTAAAACAGTTATTTAATTTCATGAAATCTGTTTCATAAATAGATTTTTTTTTTAATAACAAAAAGATACTGTTGTTGTGACTTCAAAACTGAAATTCATTAAGTCATACTATCTTATCTGTGATGACTTCAGACCTACCTGACTGGAACGGTCCTGCATTTTCAAGATACAGATCTGAATGTGATGAATTCTTGGTTGTATAGGAGACAATGGTTAACATAGTCAAAATAACTTCCTGAAATAATTTTCACAATTGCCTTTAAAATTTAATAGATGCCAGGGTTTCCATGCCATTTGAAAATCCTAGGCTGCACTTCCAGTATTTAAACACAATTCAGTAAATTCTTATGATGGTTTTTTTTTGAGGCTTTATAGTTACTGAGTTTCTAGACTTCTCTTTTTTTCCTTTAAAATTTTGTTCATTTTTTTTAGTTTAAATAGTGTGTGTCACTCTTGCTGTTCCTCCTCTATATAACTGCATTATTTTATTGATCCATGTCTGTGTTTAATTCCAAAGACTGAAATTTCATACATGTCATAGAACAAACTAAGATAATATTCTTTCAAGAGTATTTCAATGGTCAGGAGTCTTGTATCTTCTTCCTCCTAGCTCCTTGTTCCCCTCCTTCTGGCAGAGCATGAGAGACTGAAAAGTCTTTGATCAGAGTAAGCATTATGTCGCAACAACTAAAACACTGGTGTTTTATCAGCATTGTTTTCAGACTGAAGTTGAAAACACAGCACTCCAACAGCTACTAAGAAGGAGACAAACAGCTGTTACAGCTGAAACCAGGACAGTATCCACCCCTTATTCGATACCATTGAGATCATGCTCATGTCCCAAATTTTTCAATATATCATCCCTTTTTCTCTCTTTATATATTTATACACAGACACACATAGACAGATATCATTCTTTAGTCCATGGATCATCCCTATAAAGTTCGCTGAGTTCATTCAGTCCACGTCATGTTTCACCTGTCCTAACAGTCTTTCAGGACAGCAGAAAAAGAGACAGTGCGTAGTGTTGGACTGTTGCCTGCTGACGGCACCACTGAACTCATCTGGTCACTGCTGAGCTCATCTGGTTTCATTAAAGTTCATTCTTTCTTGGGGTGACAATTGGAAGGAAGTCCGGTTCAGTCGATGGTGACGTGAGGACAGTTCTAGGAGACTCCTGCTGCTGCTCCCGGCTTTTCCCGGGATTATTTTCCTCCCTTTCTTAAAAACTTCTTCCCCTCTATCACCCCACCCGATAATGTCATTAGTGTATTGCAGGTGTTCCGGATCTTGCCTCTGTTCCAGTGCAGTCTGGATTAGTCCATGGCAGATAGTAGGGCTTTGTTTCCACCCCTGGGGCAGTCAATCCCAAGTGTACTGGATGCCCCTCTGCCGCAGAAAATATATGGACTCAGTCAGAGATTAATATGATCAGACAAAAGCCATTTATTACAAAGCCTTAACCCCTTAAAGACTGTTTTTTACATGCAGTTACAGTGATTTGGCATATTATGATTGGATACATGTCTTGAAGACCCTTTACAACTAGCATATAATTGGTTAAGCACAGGTGTGGGAACTTGACCTCGAAAGCTTGCCAACAGTCCACAGTTCTCATTAACTCGGTGAAATCCAACTTGTTCTTGTCTTGATTGTTTAGGCTTCCTCAGGCCTCTCATGGCCTTGCTGTATCTTTCAGGATTTTCAGAGTTTATGTACCAATTATCTATTCCCCTGTGAGAACACTGCCTCCACACCCCTCCAAGTAAAAGTGAAATGTGGCCTGCACTCTGCTGCCAAAGGAATTGAGAAGAATGCATTGGCAATATCATTTGTGGCATTCCACTTGGCTGCCTTTGACTCCAGTTCATACTGAAGTTCTAGCATGTCCAGTACGGCAGCACTCAATGGTGGTGTGACTTCATTCAGGCCACAATAGTCTACTGTTAGTTTCCCCTCTCCGTTAGAGTTTCACACTAGGCATATGGGTCTATTAAAGGGTGAGCGGTTCCTGCTGATCAGTCCTTGGCTCTCCTGTCTGCACATCAGCTGATGGATGGGAATGAGGGAGTCTCGGTTGGCACGGTATTGCCGCCGGTGCGCTGCTGTGGTTGCGATTGATGCTTACTGTTCTTCAAACTTCAGCAACCCCACAACAGAAGGATCCTCTGCAGCTCTGCATCAGTCACAACAGGGTGCATTTGCCACGCCTTCCCAGTTAGGCTGATTTCAGCCTCCAGTACAATTAACTTTTGGGATCCTCCTGTCACTCCAGAAATACAAACGGGTTCCACCCCTTGGTAACTTGATGGCATCAGGGTACACTGTGCACCAGTGTCTACTAGAGCCTTATACTTCTGTGGGACTGATGTGCCAGGCCATGTGGTCCACACAGTCCATTAAACCTGATTGTCCCTCTCCTCCACCTGGCTGGAGGCAGGGCTCCTCTAATAGCAACCATAAGGCTCTCCTTTTACTTCTTTTACAAAGAGATTATCATTCCTTCTCATAGGAATTGGGGTAAAATTACGTCTTTTACTCCATCTGGGAAACTACTCACTGGAGACTGGAGCAGCAACTTTCTTGGTAGGATCATCCTTGACTTGTTCTCTAATTCAGCACCCATTCATCCAGAAGTGAGGTAGGTTTTCCACCCCACTTTCTCATGTCTTTTCTGTGATCCCAAAGATAAAACCATAGGGTGGCCCATGGCGTGTCCTTCCTATATCTTCCTTCTTGGGCAATAGGGTGCCTTCTGGTAATAGCTGAGATGCAGGTCTGTACACATGGGGAGCTGGATAGATCATTTCTCAATTGTTTGTCCTTCTGGGACAGTTTTTCCACCGTTGAAATGATGGAAGGGGTGACATTGTCTTTGAACTCTCGGAGTTGACGAGTCGCTTCATCCACTGTTGGTGGTGCTGCCTCACTCCAGGTGTCATGGTTTAAACCCAGTCAGGTAACTTGTTCACTCACTCCCAGTGAGTGGTGCCGAGCTGACAACAATCGAGGTCCCTGTCCCCCCCCCCCCCCCCCCTGGGGTTCTCCCCCACTCCCGGAGGAACGGGGAGGAGGATCGAAAAAATGCAACTCCCACGGGTTGAGACAAGAACAGTCCAGCAACCAATGTACACAAATCACCACCGTTACTATCAACTATAACAATGATAAGGGAAAATAACAAGGGAAGAGAATACGATACCACCGGCCAAGAAAACGAGTTCCACCCGGAAGCCCGTGTCCTTCCGGGTAACTCCCAGTCACCCCCCACCCCGGCCATGACGTGCTGTGGTATGGAATACCTCCCTGGCTAGCCCGGGTCAGGCGCCCCGTCTCTGCTTCCTCCCGGCTTCCCCTCCTCCCTGGCAGAGCATGAGCCTCACAAAGTCCTTGGTCAGGGTAAACATCACTTAGCAACAACTGAAAACATCGACTTCACCAACACTGTTCTCAGGCTGGAAGTCAAAACACAGCACTGTACCAGCTACCACAAAGGAAAAAACATGACTGCTACTGCTGAACCCAGGACACCACGTCAATGTTGCCAATGAGTTGGCATACGATGATGGCACGCTGCATGTAAATTTCCATGACATGGGTTGTGTACATTGGATTTCATCTGTATCTGTGGGTTCATTCCCGGCATCTGGCCTATGATAGATCATCTCTAGAATGGCTAATTCCCTCAGGTACTGGAGGCCTTGCTCTGTCATGGTCCACTTGCCTGGGCGACATATAACATCATCCTTGTAGGGATACCTTTCCTTCACAGCTGCCAAAAGCCACCTCAAGAGTTTGAGGACTCATTTCTCTTTCGCAATCCCTTTGTCAGTTTCCCCTGCCCTAGAAAGTGATCCCAGCTGCTTGGCTTCCTTACCCTCTAGTTCATGTCTGTCGGCCCCACTGTCCCAGCATCAGAGCATCCAGGTGACGATGTGCTCATTTGGAATGCGGCTGAAATCTTTTGGCATATTCCACATCTCAGTCAAGGTATGGGATAGTGAAGTTACCTCTTGTTCTGCCTCTTCCTCTGTTTGTTGTGCTGTGTCCTCTCGTTATTCCTGTTCAGATGTCACACCTCTAGTTCTGGCATTGAGTCTTCATCTTCCTTCTCTGCACGAGTTGCTTTTTGTGCTTTTTGTTTGCTTTCCCCCTTGCTTGTATGGGCAAGTAATATTTGCACAGATTGGTCCTTTGGTACTGTTGCAGTGCCTGCAACTGGGCTTGGAGTGGCTGCCGTGTCTGTCACTGGGGTTGGAGTGGCTGCAGTGCCTGTTGTTGGAGATGGAGTAGCTGTTGTGGTTGTCACTGGGGCTGGGGTAGGTGCTGTGCTTGTTGCTTGGGATGGAGCAGCTGTGTCATCTGTTGTTTTGCCATCAGATTGAGAGAGATCTTTTTACCCTTGAGGGCACCGGATAGTGTTGAGCAGGGCTCTGTAGGCCAAGCCCCAGAACGCTGTGGTGAGTTGTTCCTCTCTGGTATTGCCAGGTTGACAGCACACCTTGTCTAAGGGGTTTACTAGTTTTTCCAAATTTTGCACTAGTTCAGGGGTGAAGTTCCAAAGCACTGGAGGGGCTCACTGGCCCAGGTGCTTGCCTATACGATCCCATGCACCCTGCCACTCATGACTGTCCAGCCTCAGGGAAGATCTCTTAGTGGTCCTCCTATGTCGTCATCCACCCCCAGACAACCCTGCTTAAGTTACGAGATCAGGTGAGATTGGGCATTCTCAGGGTGGTATGGCCATGGGAGAGCACATGCAGCATATTCAGCAACGTGCTGGCTCCCAGCAAAAGGAGCAGGCTGGTTTCAGGGGCTTTGAAAGGATATTCAAAACCTTTAAAATTCTCAAATGCTTCTGTAAATAGCCTGGTGGGGGAGCAGAGGGTGTGAGGGCATGCACCTTCATAGGTTGACCCTCCGAGGTGGGGGAAAAAGAATTGTAATTGTT